CACTTTTTATTTAGCTTGAATTCCTTAACAAGAAGTTACCACATGCACGAGGTACTAACACTATCAATATTTTTTACGTATTGTCAAGGAAATGTGAGTGGAAAACTCATGTTGTGGGATTTTAGGGTGTTTAATGTGATGTGTAAGTGTTTGCTAAAGTGTTTTAGTGCTGTCACGTTTTTGGGTGATGATTACTGGCTCAAAAGAGCTTAAACCCAATACCTTTTGCTTCTGTCTGTAATATTTATATGGATCATGTCCCAATTTGTTTGCCCATTTTAACATCGACCATCTCTAAGAAAGCAATAGCACACCTATCTTCAACACACCAATGTTCAATACCTGGGACTATTTGTTCAAACCACTAAGCCTAAGTAAGAGCAATAGTAACAGAGATGCTTGCCCTACAACACAATTATTACAGTAATATCTTTAGTAGGTATCTAAAGTCTAAACAGTAGGTATCATCTCCCACCACACTGAAAAAATGTGGAGTAGGATTTACCTGAAAAAAGCAAACTTTTTCCACTCAGAAAATGCTCCTAAATTTACAAAGATTTGCCAAGTGAAAACCTAAACATATTTATCAGTAGCTTTAATTAGAAATCTTAAGTTAAAATTTACTTGGAATATGGAATTAAGTAAACTTTACTTTAGTTAAGTGAAAGTAACAAAGAATATAAGTAACTTGGCTAGTAAAAGGTTGATTAATATCGATTTAGTTGTAATTTCCTTTGCATTACATTTCACTCAAACAATTTTATTGAATTATACCAGTCATTTATAGACCATTTCACAAGATGTAATCAACACTGGTCCAGAAGCACTTCCTGTTTCAGTTTTTTAACACTACATAAAAGCTGGGATAAAATACAACCAACAGAACATTTAAAACTGAATCAAAAAGTTAAACAAACATCTTTAAGATGTTTTCTTTACATGTTAAATAAAGAAAACAGTTACAAACTGAAACAGGAAGTGTTTCTGGACCAGAGTTGTTTACATCTTGTGAAATGGTCTATAGTATGTGTTTTACTTAGCCTATCTAAGTAATTTATACTTCATCATGTCAGATGTTAACATGATGTGAATACAAAGACCTCAATACTTGGTAGACAATACACAATGACGGTAACATTTGATGGATCGTTTTTGTGTTTGAATGTGTCATTTTGAGCAGAAAATTTCCTCAAAATGTCACAAAATGGCAAGTTACTAATCCTGACAACAAAAGCAATGATAAAACAGTGTAAATACAGCTGGAAACCAGTGAAAAATGAGCCTCATTAATTATTCAAGGTCCAGTGCATGATGGTAGTTTCAGAATCAGAAAAGTATCAGAAAAGTATCAGAAAAGTTGAGTACTTTTTACTTTATTTTATTGAGTTCATATTTATGCTTTCATTTCTACTTGAACTAAGTACTGATACGGAATTTACTTAGTTTTTTTTTAATTCTTGCCTGAACTAACTTTTTCTTGTAAATTACACTGGGGTTTTTTTTCAGTAGTATTTACCTTACCAAAAAAATTATTTTTTCAGTGCAGATCACCGACTCCACCAGACACCCTCGGCCTTACGGCTCCACCAGGTTCCCTCGTCCCACCGGTTGTCCCTTGGTCAGTCAGTCTCACACCACCTTCGCCACAGACTTGCATATCTTCTGCTACGCTACGTTCCTCCGCCCCTACGGCTAAGAGCTTAGATCGGGCCAAAATAATCAAGCCCGACCCTACTTGAGCCCGTGAACGTTGTGTCCAAGCCTGGCTTCCCCACGGCTTCGCCCAGGCCTCCTGTGCCAGTGATGTCTGCTCCCTGGGATACATCGCCTTGGTCGGGCATCCCTCAGTTGAAGTCAGCCTCCACACCACCCTGGCTCTTCCTTTCCTCGTCTCCACCCAGCCCATTCTCACCCCCAAGGCGTCACCTAACTGACGCCTTGGGAAGCATTTGGACATGCTTCAATATCTGACGCTTTAGGCGCCCTTTAGCGTCAGTTACATGGCGCCCTAGGATCGCGTGTACCCTGCCCCCACCCCAGACCTAAACCTAACCGCGTCCTCTAACTGACGCTTTCCTTTAGCGTCAGTTAGATGACGCCGTAGGATCACGTCATGTAAGTGACGCTAAAGGGCGCCTAAAACGTCAAATATTGAAGCATGGTCAAAGGTGACGCCTTGGGGTGAGAATGCGTTGCTTCACCGTGGGCTGTTTTCTAAGGATTTTCCTCCGGGAGTGAGTGTTATGTCACAAGCACTCAGTTTTGTTCATCTTTAGTTTCCCTTTCATGGACAAATTTTTGTTTGTTTCCATCAGTCTCATGCTTCTTCGTTTCCCGTCACTCATCTATTCCCATGGACACTAATCTTCCAACACAGCTGCCCATCATTTAGTTTGTTACCTCTCCCTGCTGAAAAATCCAGCTAAAACCAGCCTAGGCTGGTTGGCTGGTCTTAGCTGGTTTAAGCTGGAAGTAGCTGGTTTTAGTTGGTCACCCAGCCTGGCTTAGCTGGTCAAGCTGGTCTCCCAGCCTGACTTAGCTGGTTAAGCTGGTCTCCCAGCCTGGCTACCAACTTGACCAGCTAAGACCAGCCTGACCAGCTGAAAAAGTGTTCAAAACCCCTCTAAAACCAGCCTGATAAACCAACTAACCAGGCTGGGAGACCAGCCAAAACCAGCCAACCAGCCTTGGCTGGTTTTAGCTGGATTTTTCAGCAGGGCTGTGTATCACTAATCTGCACATTATGTAGTTCCTCTTTGTTAAGTCTTCAGTTGTCGGTCGATGTTTGTTGTGTTGTGTGTGTGTCTACCCCTTTAACAAATGCACAGTTAAGCCTTCTATCTGTTCCTGTGTTTGTTTAATTAAAATCACTTTGCATTGGAATCCTGTGTACCTTCATCTTCATGACAACCATGTTTGCTTGATTAGATCTAGAAGTTTTATTTTAATAATTAACATTCACATTCCAACTTTGTCACCACAAAAATTAAAATGACTGCATAATGCTACTGGAAGGCATTGAATTGTCCGAAATGACAAAGTATAAATAAAACATTCATATAAAAATAGTCTTTCACAAAATATACTCTCTTACCGATATTTTCAATGTAAATTCGATGTCTGGATTTATCACTATACCAGTTACAAAAAGCTTGTGGTCAGTAGTCACTTAATATTACAGCAAACATGATTATTCCAGACTAGTAGCAGCATACAGGAAATTTCTCAAAGAAAAAAACATTGCTTGTTGTCTTATGTATTATGTAAACTAAAAAAGCTATTCTTTCGGAAAAAAGCTCAGTGTTTTTCTGAATAAATTCAGCATTATTTCTGCACAATGTTTCATTAATTACAGTTATCAACATTTTTTAATAAATAAATAAAATCAGTTGTTTAGAAGAATTAAACAGCAGAGCTCCAAAATTATCACCAACATTTTTTAGCAACCTTGGTTCCGGAAGTAGTTTTCCCATTCATTGTCTTCAGTAAGGCATTCAGATTCATGAACCGAACCAACCAGCTTCATAACATCATAAATCTTGATTTGAAGTGTATATACAGTATGTATGTATATAAACATAATCTATTAAAATTGACTTCCCAATATAAAACTGTTTAATTGAAAAATATTTAATAAAACTGTTTAATTGAAAAATATTTAATAAAATGTAGTTATTTGAGAATAGAGCAATGTGAATGTGTCATTCAATAGTCAATAGTCATCTTCATTTATATGGCACTTTTAACAAAGGATTGTTCCAAAGCGGCTTTAAAATATTAAATTAAAGTAACAGAGATTCACTACTGAGTTCTTTTGCAGCAATCTCAGTTTATCTCAGTTTGACTCCTCTGATTGGTCTTCACTTTGACTTGAAGCATAAATAACACTCACATTTAACATTTAATTTAATATTCAACAATATTGATCTGCCTGCATTGACACTATTATACAAGAACTGAGCTGGACGATGACATCACGGTTTACTCCAGAGCAGATGTATACTGTATATTTAAATGAACTAAATTAATAACTTTTTTTAAAACGAAAATTAAACATCACTGAACTTCCTTAAGCTGGATTGTGACGCTGTTTTCTTCTGGAAACAAACTTTTTTGTATTACTACAGTAAAAGACCTGGGTGTTATACTAGACCGCAACTTGTCTTTCGAAAATCATATTTCATATGTTACAAGAACAGCCTTAGAAATATTGCTAAGCTACGTAACATGCTATCTGTTTCTGATGCAGAAAAGTTAGTTCATGCATTCATGACCTCAAGACTAGATAACTGTAATGCTTTATTAGCCGGTTGTCCTGCATCCTCAATAAACAAGCTACAGTTAGTGCAAAATGCAGCTGCTAGAGTTCTTAGGACAAGAAAATATGATCATATAACACCGATTTTATCATCTCTACTTTGGTTACCTATTAAGTTCCGTATCAATTACAAAGTACTGACCTATAAAGCCCTAAAAGGTTTAGCACCTGTGTATTTAATGGACCTCCTAGGTGGTATGCCATATGGAACCGTTGCCACTGAAACGCATTACCGCGACAGTGGGGCTCGACAGCCTTAGTCAAACGGGTTGGCGCGTATGGTTGGGTTGCGGAGAGTTTGTGAGATTGAGTGAGGTTTTTAACATCTACTCCCGTGTAATGGATATCATTATGAACATCAGCTATGCTAATTATTTCCCATATGCCTTTCTGCTGTTATCTTGGGACGCTTGTTCCGAGAAAAATGGCGTTAGTCAGCTCCAGTTTGTATCCAGCCTCTCACGGAGACTTCAGATGCCCCAATGTCTGTGAAGAGACGACTCAGCGCCTGTGAAGAGACGACTCAACGCCAGCGATTTGTTATGCCCTTAATATTACATGATTAAATAAATGTATTTTTCCATGTACTTTTCTGTAATGCACTTTCTGTAAAGCTGCTTTGAAACAATATGTATTGTAAAAAGTGCTATATAAATAAAATTGAATTGAATATTATTTTCCTGTTATCTCTGTAAAGCAGCTTTTAAACAATCTGTATTGTAAAATGCGCTATATAAATAAATGTGACTTGAATTGACTTGACTCACGGTAGGTATGTCTTGAAAAGTCATACATTATCAGAGAAGATGAAAAGGATTTACTTCTGGAACCCTGCTGTTGTGCTCTGTTGGAGTATTTTCTCCATTGTTTTAATTGCAAGACATCCACGTCCATGTAACTCCATTGGTAAAATGAATGTGCAGATAGTTGTCATCAGTTTTACAGCAGGTCGAAGACAAGAAAGCCTTTTTTGAATCCAGATAGCTTCAGAATACTGCAGACCCGAGTCACGCTCTAGATTTAATGAAGAAAGCAGGTAAAACGGCGTGGCATCAGAAATAGCGCAACGATACTTCTAGATGATCGTCCATTAGAGTGAAGGAAGCATGTCTAAAGTAAAGTCTTGTGCAAAAGAATAAATGCCACCTGATTGAGTCATATTTTAAGGTCAGGGAGTAAGTTTACATCATTTACACGTGTACACCTCTGTCCTCTCGCTACACGTGTTGCATTTGACATAACAGCACCAAAAGAACTTGCAGTTGCACTGCCACACACGCGAGTACTGGTGTGTGTTATACCCGCGCCCACAGCACATGAGGTCGCAGCCGTTGTGGTGGTGCATCAGTGTCTTGTTGCACACTCGCCCCTGAGTGCCGACGCTGCCGCTCACCGGATCCGCCTCACAGTAGTTGGGAGATTTTTCAATGTACACCAGCTCTGTGTCCATGGGCTTGCGGTACGAGTAGGGTTTTTTGATCTTGAGAAATGTTGGTCGTTTGTGGCGCGTGGCTTTGACTGGCTCCACATGGACAGCGTTGGTGTATTTGTCTTTGAGGATATAGCCGAGCTCACGAAATTTGGGCAGGGTCATCCAGCAGGTCCTGGTGGTGCAGGATCCAGACACACCGTGGCATTTACACTCCAGCCGCATACTCTGCTCTAGGACCTGCGTCGGGCACAGCATAAGGGGGGGGGGGGGGGGGGGGGGGTGAGCATGTTCATTAAGCAAATGCTTCATTACTCAATGTGAATACACCACATATTGTCAACACACTCAAATGATGTAATTCAAATTGTATGCGCGAGAATTGCGATCTGAAGTAGTGTAAGCAGATAGCAATTCTCGCGCATGCGTCGTGGAAATCTAAGGAAATCTCGTTTCTGGCCTACAAGGAAGAAAAGAAATAGTCGAATAAACTCGTTATTTTTGTTTGTTTTTTCGCACAAAAAGTATTCGACAAGCGTCGCTTGATAAACATATAGTTGAGCCACGGTAGTCACTTGGGATATTTAAACATTTTCTTCATTGACTTTCTGGGCCGTCAAGATGCAGTCCCTTAGGCAGCCAATGTGGTAGTTATACAGCTCTCAAATTTAATCAAAAATATCTTCATTTGTGTTCCGAAGACGAACAAAGGTCTTACGGGGTTGGTACAGCATGGGGGTGAGTAATTAATGACTTAATTTTCATTTTTGGGTGAACTAACCCTTTAAGTACATTTAAGTAAGTAATCTTAAGTAATTAATTCAGATTCTGTTCTCTCTCTCAAAATGTAAATTAATGTAAATGTCAAACATTACCAGAAATGTCTAAACAATTCAAGTCAGTCTAATATTTTATTCCATCCGTTACTCCTGGTTGGAGGCTTTCATATTTCATTTATAAGTAGGGAAAATTTCAACTACATTTAATGGTGCAATGTAGAAATATTTAAAGGGACACCCATTTGCATTAAACGTTGAATCTTTTGAAACCCAGTTATATTTTTGAATGGTCATGGTGAGATGGGAGAAATAAGGATTTAAGTATTTTGACGTAAAAATCGTCATTTTGTGTCATAATAAGCTGGAAGTCACATTTGATTTCATTGAAATGACAGAGACTACAAACATTAGCTCATTATTATTCAAGGGTGTGGGACCCACTCACCCTACATGCTTATTACAGATCAGTGGGTGGGACTTCACTTGCAGATACTGAATCAATATTTCAGCCATCTTGTTTGGAAGCTAAGCTAACAAGCTCTGTGGAGATAGGAAGTATGATAATGATGGAAGAAACTAAACATGATATGGAAGAAGAGGATTTTGAAATTCTGCTACTCAAATCTGATGTTCGTGGCTATCTTTACGAGCCGCAGTATAGTGAAGAGCAGCTGAGGCGGATGGAGGAACAGGAGGCGGCTGCCTGTCGCGGTCGAGGAGCCCGGACTGGCTCGAGCTGAGGCGGACTGCTGAGATTTTCAACGATGGCAATTTCTCCTGGACGAAATCTCTGAATCAGACGAGCACACAGACGTTTGTGTTGTGATGTGAACCATCCTAGTTTCGCCTGACTGAACATCCAGGTATCATGCAGTGATTCACATAGAGAAAGCAATACAAACGAGGAGTAATTCACTAATGAGTTTGCCAAAGTAATGTTAACGGGGTTTGTTGTTGTGGGAAGAAGGAGGCGGGAACCGGCGAACATTGAAACATTTTAATAGTAAAATGAACAAATACAAAACGAAAGTATAAGCCAGCAGCCCCTCATTGACGACTGCTGTTACACACAAAAGAAACAAAACAACATAAAATCAGGCTTGTTTCTCTCTCGATCTGCCATCGTCGCTCCTCATTTATGATAACTATGTTTATATCAGCTCCTCCGTGCAACAAGAGATGCGAGACCGGTGCGTGAGTATCTCACTGGTGTCTTTCATTATCACTTTTGCTGTCCTCTCACTTCCCTCGCTCAGTCGCCCTTGTCCTGCTCGCCACAGCCAACTTACTAGACATTTTTTGTGAAATGAATTTCAAACTCTGGTGACAGCTAACGTTAGCCTTGTAGACGGAAGAGTGATTTCTCTGATGTGTGCGCAGTTCCGGATTAGTGGGTGTGGTTTGCGCAGCTGTGCAATGTGGTGCATTGTGGGTGTTGTAGTCTTTCATACAAATGCCCCCTTCAGTTATTTTCTGTCTTTACACGGTCAAGAGGGCACCAAATTCAAAAATTATTTTACATTCGACTACATATATGATCCACTTTCAATAAAGATTAATGTTGAAAGGGGTGAAACGCTCCTTTAATAGTGCATAAATACGTATACTTATACTTATACAGATTTTTGGCCATTCTTTCGACAACAGCGTTTTGGGTGCATGAAAACGGCCTCCATGTAAACAGCAAAACCGTGAATCTCTGAAGAAGATGACGTCATGTACATGCGTATTACATGTTCAGTCTATGTTGTTTCATTGCCATATAATCTCGTGGATGGATGCTAAGTAGTTGCGGGTGTTCTTTGCTAGATGGCTTCCCAAGTTTCTGATCTGTTCTCAAAAAATGGCTTGGGTTCTTTCCTCTATTAAGTAAAATGAACAAGGTTCTTGTTCTCTATAAGGTATTCATGTTCACATCACAAATGGTATGGGACAAGTTAGTTAGTTTAACAAGTTAGTTAGTTTAAGTTAGTTAAATGTAAGGTTACTTAATTAAATTACAAACCCTGTTTGAGCAATAGCAAAAGTTTCTTCACTTAGCAAACTGATAATTACATTCACATTCAATAAACAAATGTACAATAACTGTATTGTCATATGTGTTACATAATGTTATTTTTCTCCACAACATACCAACAGCAATAACACCAGTCAAATCGCACATCCTCTCATCATACCAAGACCTTCTGTTATCTATTCTTCAGATGGGCACCATGAGCCAATGTCATTACATTCGCTGGCATAAATTAAGCAAGGGAGGGGGCATTCAAACAGAGCCCTCTTTTAGTTAGCTCAACACAAAACCTGCAGCTAGAATGATCCTGCAGGGATAGTGAGTTCACTAAGAGGCAATTTAACGTCTCAGATAAGACCATATGAACGCAGTCCCAGAGAAAAGGCTGTTCAACTAGCTGTTTTCTCTAGGACTGTGTTTTCTCTGGGCTGTTCACAATGTCAGGGTGAATGAGGATAACTAAGTGTTGGTGCCATGAATCAGCTCTCTGCGACCAAAGGTGGAACGCACTAGATATGCTGGAAGCTTCTTTATCCCTCATTAAGCTTTACTGATTAGTCTCTCTCTCATTCAAAAATGAAAATGCTGCATGATAAATGTGATTTCTGTCAAACTGTATTTAGCAGCATTGACATTAATGATGTTTGGTTGTGAGACATGCGAGAACCAATGATATTTGATTTCACTGATGTCCGAACTGAGCCATAAGCTTCAGAAAGCTTGTAATGTATATCATAATGACTACACTGTACAATCCAACAGTTGTTCCTAATAACACTTTGGGCTATATCTTACACCCGGCAAAATGCAGCACCAAGCGCAATGCTAGTATTTTTTGCTAGTTTCAGTCCGACGCCGTTATCATTTTCACGTCCTGCGCCATGTTGATAGAAAACGCATTTGTGCCCATTTGTTAAAAAAGCCCATGGGCTGCTGGTCTGAAAACCAGGTGTGTTCAGGCTCATTGTTGGCACGTTTTTATTTTGAGTAACTGAAATAGACTGAGCATTGACCAACTGAAACCTGGTGTAAAGTAAGTGGCACAATATTTCCATAACGTGCGTACACTGTGCTTATTACACACAAAGGCAGCATGCATAGCAGCAGACAAACATGCCAAATATGTAAAATAAAATACAATTAAACATAAAATTTAAAATAAAATTACAATATAAAAGATTATTATTGTTTACATAAAGATATGGTGGATTCCGGCTTGTCCCGTAGATGGTCCGCTCTCACGCTCTCTCACGAGCAGATCTGTTTCATTCAGAACCATTCAGTTTTTAACTTTATTGTAAAAGCCTAGTAAACTCTACTTATTCACATAGTATTCAATGTTTACTCAAAAAACCCAAGTTAAGATGAATTGATTGGTTTGAGCAGGGGCAATAGACTTTTTCGCTCATTTCCTCCACTTCATTTCTCTAGTTGCATTAACTAATTTCAAGAGTTATCTTGAATGTTGAACTGTCAACACAACTGAAAGATTTCAGGGAACATCACATAAGTGGATTTTCCTAAAAATGTTTTTGTTTGTTCATCTTACTCGCAAGTACTGCAGTTACAAAATGTATTTTGATCAACTGGAAATCTGAAAATTCACCATTAGTAAAACATTGGATAAATGAGCTTGTGTCTTACTGCACACCCGAAAAGATATTTGCCTTCCCTAGATTTGACTCACCATGTTAGTATGAGCCCTCCTATGAGGACCTGATTCGAATTAGCCCTCTGTGGGTCTATCCTGTTTAATTTCCTTATTGATGTAGTTATTGTGAGTAATATTTAGGTATGTGAGTATACAGATGGATATATGTATAAACTGTATAGACTGCTTATTTAAATGAAAAGAAATTGAAAACCATACATGGGAAGAGGGTGGGGGGTGGGATGGGAAATGTTTATGTGATATTAGCTTTTCTTTTAATATTTGATTTTATTTACTTTTTATTAATTTTCTGTCTGATGTTCAAAATTTGAAAATGTTCATTCATTGTATTTAAGATGTAAGTAATGTATCAAACTGTAGATCCTTTGTACACTCTATTAACATCTTGTAAGTAAATGTTAATAAAAACAAATCTAAAAAAAAAATGTTTTTGTTTGAACTCACCATTATGGTGATCAGTGTTCCGTTTGGTTGTTATTTTTAAAAAATACTGAAAACTGAAAGTTACAAGTAAATAAACATGCATTATAGTTTACATTTAAATGCAAGAACTTATGGCACTGAACTTTAGAGAGCATTTTTGACCCACTTAAGCAGGACTTCAGTATTTATTATCTTTATGTACCATTCATAATTCAATTGTCTTTGAAATATGGTTAAAATGTACTGCCGAATGCACTGACAAGTATTTATGGCAAACTAATGTATACTTTAATGTAATTTCTATTGAAACATGTATTCAAAAGTTTAAATATATTTGTAATTACACACTTGTGTTACACACAAATTAATTACACACAAGTGTACAATTTAAAGGGTTAGTTCACCCAAAAATGAAAAATCTGTCAGTATTTACTTGCCCTCAAGTTGTTCCAAACCTTATTTTATTTGTTCTGCTGAACACAAAGGAAGATATTTGGAAGAATGTTGTAATCAAACAGATCTCAATTCCCATTGACTACCATAGTAGGAAAAAATACATACTATGGTAGTCAATGGGGATTGAGATCTGTTTGATTAAAACATTCTTCCAAATATCTTCCTTTGTGTTCAGCAGAACAAATAAACACATAGAGGTAAATACTGACAGAATTTTCATTTTTGGGTGAACTAACCCTTTAAATATAATGTAAAATAACATACTAAATTTTAAATGATGCATGACACACAATACCTGTGTATGTCAAGCAATATACATCACAATATGTGTACTTTGTTAAATAATGACAAAAGGTTATAAAAAACATAATGATTTAAAATGTTATTTAAAGTAGCCAACTGTACTTAAAGGATTAGTTCACTTTTGAAAAAACTTTTGCTGATAATTTAATCACCCCCATGTCATCCAAGATGTCCATGTCTTTCTTTCCACAGTCGAAAAGAAATTAAGGTTTTTGATGAAAACATTCCAGGATTTTTCTCCTTATAATGGACTTCCATGGGAACCAGGTCCAACCGAGGTCCAAACGACAGTTATAACAGTTACAGATGCAGCTTCAAATGTCTTTAAACGACACCAGACGATGAATAAGGGTCTTATCATGCGAAACGATCGGTTATTTCAAAGCTTATTCCAAAAATGTAACTTTAAGGACAAATGCTAGCCTTTCTCCATTCTGTGAGGCGCGTTTGCAACGTCACGTAATACGTAATTACGTTCAAAAGGTCACGGGCGACGTAGCCAGAAGTACAGAGTCAGTGTTTACAAGTTGAACGCATAGGTTGAACGTGAAAACTAACTCAAACGCCGTTTACAAAAAAGGAATTAAAAGGTAAAACAACGATGTCGGACGATTTTGATTCTGTACTTCCGGCTACGTCGCCCGTGACCTTTTGAATTAATTACGTATTACGTGACGTTGCAAACGCGCCTCACAATATATTACAAGGCTAGCATTTGTCCTTAGAAAAGTTACATTTTTGGAATAAGCTTTGAAATAACTGATCGTTTCGCATGATAAGACCCTTATTCATCGTTTGGTGTCGTTTAAAGACATTTGAAGCTGCATCTGAAACTGTTATTAACTGTCGTTTGGACCTCGGTTGGACCTGGTTCCCATGGAAGTCCATTATAAGGAGAAAAATCCTGGAATGTTCAAAAACCTTAATTTCTTTTCGACTGAGGAAAGAAAGACATGGGCATCTTGGATGAAATGGGGGTGAGTAATTTATCAGCAAAAGTTTTTTCAAAAGTGAACTAATCCTTTAAGTACTTTTTAACTGTATATGTACAGTTAAAAAAAGGACACTACAAGTGCACATTCAATACATTTAAGCACACTCTTCCCCCCCAAGGGACTGAATCCCTTATTCCACATCAAAGACAACCTACAGATGTCTGAACAGTATATGCGGGGAAAAGCACAGACTCTAAATGCAGGTGAAAGTGAAAAAGCCTTTTAGGACCTCTGGCAGCTTGAGCATTGAAAGTTGAGACAAAAGCACACCATCAAAGATGAAGCGTTTCCATCAAAGGTAGAGATAGGGGATACTGGTGTAACTAGTGTCTATTTAACTGAGCAGAAAATGGGAGTGGTTATGTACAGAGCTCAGTGTGTTGGAGCTCATCTGATTTGTAATCAAACTCGAGCACTTATACTGCTCTTACCCCTAAAAGCTTTCTATTATCGCTGTGCCAGGCCAGTCTTGGCTTTGCTGCTGGATTGTTGACGGCTGCAAACCGCAGTGCCATAGTTACTGAATCCTTCCCTGTACTTGACTTTCACTTGATCCGTTCAGTGTAACCAAAACATCACTTCACGGATAGATACCTTGTAGGAATAGTTCACCCAAAAATGAAAATTCCCTTGTAGAAATAGTTCACACAAAAATGAAAATTATTACTGACCCTCATGCCATTCCAAACCCACATGTAGCTCTGACATCATGTGACCGAACATCAAAAAGTTGCAGTTATCTTTATTATGTGGTGGAATACACACTACTTTTTATGAAACTTCTCGTTTGATTTTGTCACTAGTAACTGAATGCTTTAAGTGAACGTAAAATAACATGTTGAACTCTTTTGAGCTCCACAGAGTGAAAGAGAGAGTCACACAACACAAGGGTGACAAACTGGAGAACTCGTGGGCCGGCTAATTCATATGAAATTGCCCAATCTCATTCACACGGTTTTGTACCATCTGTTTTTCCCCAAATGATGGTTATGTGGTAAACCTTCATCCTACTTTATATCTAATTCACATTATACAAATTTATACGAAATCGCCACCTCGTAAAATAGTTACACTATACTGTGGGTCAACTGTTTGTTTAAAGCAAGCACTAGAAACTAAAGCGTGTCTGGCAGCTTTTCATTTACAACACGCATACACACGGAAATCTTTCCATTATAATCAAATACATCAAAGACTGCAGATATACAAAGACAGATCTCTCGTATTACTATGAATGGAGAAAACTGCATCTGCCAATATGGCGGAATAAGTCCCGCCTTCTAAATAAAATCAGGATTTGGTAAAGTCAGAGAAACCTGAGGCTCATGCACATATGCATTGGCTGGACCAACCTGAAATATACACCATATGAGCGTAAGAAGCAACATTTGTGAGGCAGACAGTTCATGTCAGATTTTATTGGTGATTTCAAATATGAAATGTAATCGTATTTGATGTTTCCCAATCCAAAGAGATATGAGCTGTACTTGCATGACTGAAACCGCTGCCCGGGGTCCTTTCAAAGAAGCAAGGGACTTTGAAATACATACCTTTCTTCCGACTTCGTTGTTATGCAGATTCATAAGCGCCCTGGCACTGTGTTTGATCTCTCTAGCATCCATGAAGACTTTGGAGAAGCCCAGGCCGTAGGTTATGTCTGCGGAGCAGCCGCCCCACCTCCAGCCGCTGGCGTGCCCGTGGAAGCCCTGCTTGTCCCGGTCACAGCTGCAGGCGCTGAGGTTCCCCCGCGTGCAGGCCGAGGTGATGGCGTGGGCCACCGCGGCCGAGAGGATGGCGTACCTGAACGCAGACTCTCGACTGCCTGCCAGCAGACCACAGAGACGCTATATTAATGCTCATCACAACAGGCACAGCTCTTTATACAGTACATCATCATTGAACAGTGGCCTACTGTGGCTGGCCAAGAGTCAAATACTCAAAATTAACCAACAAATTATGTCTAATTTAATGTGACTAAAAGCGCAAAAACAATTGACTTTGAGTAAGTGCTGACGTGCAGCTTTGTCAAGTCCATATCCAAATGTCTTAGACCACTAGTGCACAAAACGTTTGGTTATGTGCAGCTATATAAATAATAACTTTTTTACAACAAAAATGAAACATCACTGAACTTGAACCGAATCACTGGACAGAGACACTATTTTCTTCTGGAAACAAACTTGGTTGCATTATTTCCCTGTTATCTCTGTAAAGCAGCTTTGAAACAATCGGTATTGTAAAAAGTGCTATATAAGGTGACTTGACTTGACTAGGTGACTTGACTAATAAGTGTGTATATTTTTATACTCTTATATACTGTAGGTCGTTTTTTTTATATTTCACAGACAGGGAAAATTTAATACATTTAATTAGACAACTTATGAATGAGCTCAAAAAAAAAAAAACAACTCTGAATGATCTACTTAAAGAAAGGAATGAACTTCCGAACATCTACTTCCTGAGGTTATCACTAATTGCTTCTCCATGAATCACTGACACACATGGCAGTATTTGCATAATTGGCAGATATATAACCATTAACTCGAATAGTAAATTAGAGCTGTCATCCAAGATAATGAGATAAATCAATGAATGTAAAGTCAAAAATGTAAAAATTCATCGTTTTTATTCATGTTTTATATCTGAGCTCAGCTCTTGCAGAGCCTTTGCAGAAATAATGTAACATTTACAACTAGGACTTTTGAAGCTACTTAAGTTAAAAAGAAACATATTTCTATATTTTTGTCCATGCCATTACACTTAATATCAAACGCTATGATTGATCTGACTGCACTGACACTATTGGGTGAGAGATGAATGATGACATCACTGTTTTCTGCAGAACTGCTTTATAGATGAAATTAACTCATTTAATAATTGATGATCTTTACAAAAGAACTGAAACAACAATGAACTCTGTTTGCATCATTGAATCATCATTGAATTTTTCCTGTTATCGCTGTAAAGCTGATTTAAAACATAAGTAAAGGAGATTTGACTTGCATGCGCTCACAAGGTCATTAACTTCACTAAGACTTATGAACGGTTAAACTGATACAGTAGTAGTTGTGCCATATTTTTAAGTGACTTTTTGTCTCAGGTGACAGCTTTTCATGCTCTGTAATTTACACCTGTGGAAAAAACTCTTCAGGTTGCAAATACTAACCCAAATACTGATACAAGCATGACCAATGTTAGTACCAAACTCTCAAGACAGTTTCCGTTTGGAAAGGGGGCTGTATTCTTAAAGTTGTCCTTCTGTAAGAGAACTTCTAGTTCTTTACAAAACCCTCGGTGTTGGTGCTTTAATGAGCCCAAGACACTGAAACACTGATCTCAAAGCTATTAAACTCAAGCATTTTTTTAAATCTAAAAAAGTACAATAAATTAATAAAGCAATTCAAGTTTGCCTGCATCCCTCCAAGAAGAGCCATTTATGTGCTTGCATCTTTCCTGAAGATATTTATAAATATAATTTAGGCTATACTATTATTAAATTCCCATCTTTAATGGTTGGTTTCTGCAATTGTAATGAGATGTTTTGTAGCGCATCATGAATACCTATGACCGCAGGTGAGAACATGCGCGCGCATATAGCCTATAGGCGTTATATCTCATCTACCAGACATTTCAGGCATGTGGCGCGGAAATCTTAACTTCAACCGGTCGATTTTTATATCGAAGCCAATGAACTGCGACTAGTAAAGGAGGTAACTGTTTTACCCCAAATTAAACAAACTGCATAATCCGTAACCACATTGGTAAACACTTCCCTCCTATCTTTAGTGACACATGTTCCCCCAAACACTGTTTTCGTCTGACATAGTACATGAGAACATGTCCAACATACCCACTTTCAACTCTCTCCCGAAGGCGGTCCTCTCGCCGAGCGCGGAGCAGTTCCAGCGGCCGTGTCTGAACTGGAACTGGCACTCGCTGATGCCCATCTGTGCGCCCTGGCCGATCACGACAAGCGCGTCCGGGCGGCTCTGGCAGATGAGCCGCTGACGGGGCGCCAGGCCCGGAATCTTGTTGCATATGATGCTCGCTCCCAGCGCCAGTACGGTGGAGAACCCCCTAGAAGTAATCACAGAAGAGCGCGAATTAAACTAATCTTTGAGAGAGAGAGAGAGAGAGAGAGAGAGAGAGAGAGAGAGAGAGAGAGAGAGAGAGAGAGAGAGAGAGAGAGAGAGAGAGAGAGAGAGAGAGAGAGAGAGAGAGAGAGAGAGAGAGAGAGAGAGAGAGAGAGAGAGAGAGAGAGAGAGAGAGAGAGAGAGAGAGAGAGAGAGAGAGAGACTACAATGTATTGCGTGGACGAGCCAGTGCAAGCGCGTGAGCTGTCCAGTGCTCGTCCACGCGCTGTATCTAAACTACAGGGAAGATCACCGAAGTGCGCATGCAGCGCGCATCCCCTATATGTCTCTGGAAAGCATCATAATTTAAATGGCTTGTATTTAAATGTCCAAAAAGTTCCTTTTCCACTGAATAAAAACAATTTTCTTTGTTCGATTTCACTATCGTTATTTTAAAATAACCTGATAATAGGCCTACATCAATTTCACTTCAGATAGAACTAGACTAGTAATGACCAGATACAGACACCAAACAGTAAAGTTTTTGTCAGCTCACCCCATTTTCAAGTAGATTATTCCAAGACAAAGGAAAATGTGAAATATCCAGCGTCGTGTTTTTCTGCTCATGATGGTTCTGTCTCGTTTACGCTCAAATGGAACAGGAAACTTAATATCCAGTCTATTAGTAAATAAAGTAAGTTCCCCGCACGTGTGTGTCCACCTTCACGGTGTGTTCAGGTCATGTGTCCACCTTCAGGTGTTGAGAGCGCATAACGGCACAGGTCGAGCAGATGTGTGTGATCTGAGCCTTTCATCCTCACACTGAAGACGGCTTTATATCTCTGGGCGTGTTCTCACGGGCTTTAGAGACACCCATGATGTCTCATATGGATTACAGTAGCCCTATATGGTTTATTAGCTATTCCTGTTAATGAAACAAACCGTTTGACACATCAATTAACACTATTGCTACGTTTTTAGTAAGACTCAACATAACATCTGTAGGCTACATAAATCTTCTGAACATGATGTATATTACTTTATTTTTTTTAATTAATTATTTTTTCTTAATCTTACTTATTTAAATATTCTTTCTATTCTGCTCGGCCAGTTGTTCAAAGGTAAGCTGATCGGATTTTGGTTATCGGATTGGATCAAATCTTGAAAATGGGTTGTTCAAAAGGGAAAGAAGGAATCTGAAATCAGATTATATCAGGGAATCCAATCCTAGTTTTAATCTGGATCAAACCTTCAGTTTGTGTTGTTCAAACCTTGTCAGTGGGATTTGGATAACTTTGATCCAAAAAAACAGGATTATCCTGATCCCAACACGGGGTAGGATTTCAAGCTTGATTTCAAGAATAAAATGTAGTAAAATTTTAAAATTGGTCAAATAGTATCATTTAGTGTATATACTTTTATTTATATTTTGTACTTGACTTGTGTAACCGTTGTAACAGTGATAAAGTAGACATAGGCTTACAATTAAGCTATTCAGTAAAGTAACAATAAAATAAAAATTATCTTGTCCCCATTTGTGTTTTGTCTCAAAATAGAAACATTTACAGTGACCCCATGTTGGCTCTTCTACCTGTTCTTTACATAGCTGGTAGCCCTCATTGGGCCAGTTGTTGAAAGGTAAGATGATCGGATTTTGGTTATCGGATTGGATCAAATCTTGAAAATGGGTTGTTCAAAAGGGAAAGAAGGAATCTGAAATCAGATTAGATCAGGGAATCCAATCATTGTGATATGTTGTCCCATTTAGAGCACTGGTAATCCGGATTTGGTAATCTTGAAAACTGTGTATCTGGATCAGGGTGATCCAGTCCAATGTTGCTTTGAAAAAACGGCATAAAATTAAGACGGATTACCTGATCCTGGATAGAAAAAAATGGGATTTCCAAATCCGGGTCATTTTGATCCAGGTTAAATGTTTTGAACAACTGGTCCATTGTGATATGTTGTCCCATTTAGAGCACTGGTAATCTGGATTTGGTAATCTTGAAAACTGTGTATCTGGATCAGGGTGATCCAGTCCAATATTGCTTTGAAAAACCGGCATAAAAGTAAAACGGGTTACCTGATCCTGGATAGGAAAAAATGGGATTTCCAAATCCGGGTCATTTTGATCCAGGTTAAATGTTTTGAACAACTGGTCCATTGTGATATGTTGTCCCATTTAGAGCACTGGTAATCTGGATTTGGTAATCTTGAAAACTGTGTATCTGGATCAGGGTGATCCAGTCCAATATTGCTTTGAAAAACCGGCATAAAAGTAAAACGGGTTACCTGATCCTGGATAGGAAAAAATGGGATTTCCAAATCCGGATCATTTTGATCCAGATAAAATGTTTTGAACAACTGGCCCCCTCTGTTAGCCTATGCATGAATGAATTAATGTTCCCAGAGCTCCTGGAAACCACAACAAATCTCATGTGTCACTTAGCGAATAAAGCTCATTCTGATTCTGATTACAGGTGGTTTTGCGCATTTGAATCTTTGCTGTTTTGGATCAATGTGAATTGGACAATTCAGAACTGTACTCTAAAGAAATGCTAAACAGGACTCAAAAACTAGAAAAAATGGTAACACTTTACAATAAGGTTCGTTAGTTAACATTAGTTAACTACATTATGAATTTGAACTAATAATGAATAGCACATATACAGCATTTGTTAATCTTTGTTAATGTTATTTTCAACATTTACTAATACTTGATTAAAATCTTGTTAACATTAGTTAATGCTCCGTGAACTAACATGAACAAACAATGAACAGCTGTATTTTCATGGACTATTTTCCCGGGTTTTCAAAAGTAATCCACTAGGATTTTGGATAACAGATTGGATCAAATCTTATGGGTTTTTCAAAAGAAAAAACGGATTACATAATCAGATTAGATCACATAATCCAATCTTGGTTTTGATCCGGATCAAACCTTTAGTTTGGATTTTTCAGAACTTTTTTGTTGTATTTGGATCACTTTGATCCAAAAAAATCTGGATTAAACTGATCCCATCAGAAGGGTGGATTCCATGCCCAAAATGTAATGAAAACTTTAAAAATGTAACAAATAATACTATATTTGGATCATGTGGTATCTTACAAGATATTCTATTTATTCATAAGGTTTTAATTTTATTTGTTCGTCCGTCAGGCTACAGTGGCTTTAACATATTCAGCCTTTCCGTATAGGCCTACAGCAAAGTAGAAAGAGTTTGCCCTCATAAAATAATCCCCCAAACAGCTGTCAAAATTGACCAAAAACAATAAATTGTAATCTGTCACTATTTGATATCACAATCCAAAATATTTTTGTTTTTAGAATATTTATTAGTGACATATAGTTGAAATGTGTTATAAATATCCTCAATGTACAGTGTTTGTTACTTGTTTTGTCTACCTGTTGTTCTTTACATACTGTAGTTCTACATTGTGATTTCCTATCCTGTTTGAGCACTGGTTGAGATTTTGTGATCCTGAAAAGTTCCTATCCGGATCAGATTGATCCAATCCGATGTTGCTTTAAAAAACTGGCTCAAAAGTAAGCTGGATTATGTAACCACGAATCGCCCAAAAAAAAAAAATAAAAAAAAAATAAAGGATTACTAAATCCGGATCAATTTTATCCGGATTAAACCTTTTAAAAAAACGGGCCTCGGTTGTGTTTGCTGTGGTTTATGGGTGTTGAAGGTGCTTCAGGAATGACAGCAGATCTGAGAAAGACTATTATAGTGTCAGATGTCTGTCCTTACATTCTCTATACACTAATGCAAGGCATATAATCGTAATTTTAATAATTTGTAGTTTTTTACTTAGCAGCGTTGTTTATCAATTCAAGAAAACATTAACATCTTTTGCAATCACCCCCCCTGCAGGCATGATCAGTTAAATGACTCAATGAAGGCAACACAGGCTGTACTATACTGTAGGTATCTGAGCGTGAGTATGTTTCAAGAAGGTTTATTTTCTTAAATGTGGTCAGTTCTGTTAATTATTTATGAAATAAATGTTGCACTTTCATGTCTAAATATCAAATCAAAAGTTGATCTAAATATCCTAAATATGAAATGAAGTCTAAATATCCTGCTCTATTTATATTTACTTTTAGACGTTATGATGACCTAATATTTATATTTTTTTCAAACTCCTTATCAAAATTAGCAAAAAGATAAACAGGACTAAGCTAAAAAGCTAAAACATATGTGATACATGTTTGTCAAATGAAAACTGTCATTGTAAAGTTTGTTCCTGTACAGTATATGTTTTGACAATAATGGGGAATATAGTCACTTATCAGATCAGTCTCAGTCTGGTTCCTCGCCTCAGATTGGGCTGAGTTTCTGTCCCGTTGGGCAGCATGTCAAGACGAGATGCCTTTTCATTACTAGACTCTATTCAAGCGCATGGCTGACTTGAAGGTCACGAAGTAATGGTGTGGTGATGCCTGAAGCCTGCTAATCAAACATTTCTCAGACAGTGAAACTCTTGTAAAGTATTATAGTTTATATGTGCATTCAGAAAGCACTAAGACTCATTCATTCAGTTTTTCTTTAAGTAAATACAAAGTAATGGCAAATCTGGCTTTATCAATTTGGGGTAAAGAGCGTATAGACTACATGTGAACATTTTAAAAAGCATGTTATCAAAACTACATGTGAATCAAGGTTAGCCTATTGTTAACTAAAACTTAAACCAAGAAAAAAAAAATCACTTTGGAAAACAAAAGATTAACTGATATTCAGAAAAATAAAAAATAAATACTATTTAGACATTGAAAAACCTGGTAACACTTTACGATAGGCTTCAATAATTTTAAATTATTTAACTACCTTAATGAACTTCAATAACATGAAGTTAAGATGAACTAAGAATGAATAATACTTCTACAGTATTTAATAATCTTAGTTCAGTGCTAGTTTCAACATTTACTAATACTTTATTAAAATCAATGGTTGTATTTGACAACAGTTAAAGCACCGTTTTAACAGTTAACATGAACACATAATGAAAAGCTTTATTTATATTAACTAACATTAAGATATGGGTTGCCCACTGAAGCTAAGCAGGGTTGAGCCTGGAAAGTACCAGCTGACCTGTATGGGAGACCTTCTGAGAAAACCAGGTTGCTGCTGGAAGAGCAACATGACTGGCGTTAGTGGGGCCAGCAGGGGGCGCTCACCCTGTGCTCTGTGTGGGTCCTAACGCCCCCAAAAGTCATCTTCATTTATATAGCGCTTTTAACAGTGCAGATTGTTCCAAAGCAGCTTTACAATTTAAATCTATCTATCTATCACAAACATACTGATTGACTGACAGACAGACAGCTAGATAAACAGACAGACAGCCAGAGAGACAGATACAGTAGATACTGTAGCTATATAGATAAATTGACAGAGAGATAGACACAGACAGACGGACATATATATATATATATATATATATATATATATATATATATATATATATATATATATATATATATATATATATATATATATATATATATATATTAGGCCTATAAAAAATCGTTACATATTGACATTATAACTTTAAATATGCCACTTAGTGCTTACATTTGTAAATTATTCCAGTCTGCGGAGTAGAATAATTTTGATCGCAAATGTATGTTTACAGGCATCGCGTGTGTCCCTGAGGTTATTCCGTAGGAAACATCATCGTGACGTCATCATCCCGAAACTGAAAGTAGCTGCAGTCTATGGCTGCAGTTCTGCTGCGAGGAATGGAGATTTGGCAAAGTTTACCTCTGGACTGTCTGATCAGCATCTTC